CATCCTCTACATTCTCTGCCTCCCTCCCCACCCCCTCGCCCCCAGTGGACATCTCACACACTTACTGATGGCACTTCTCACCCTGTCTGGCTGGCCTCTCTGTTTTAAGTTCTCTCACTTCCAAACATGCCGCCTACCACCAACAGATAAATTACCCTGAAGCACCTCTGCAGTGTCCCCTTGGCCCAGAGACCTATACCATCCCTCCCTCGAGTGAGCTTCCTCTTCTTTTCTAAAATTTACTTTATTATTATTATTTTTATTGACTTGAGAGAGAGAGAGCGAGATTGATTTGTTGTTCCACTTACTTATGCATTCATTTGCTTGATTCCTGTATGTGCCCAAACCTGCAACTTGGGCCTATCGGGAGAACGCTCTAACCGACCGAGCTGCCCAGCCAGGGCCAGCGTGCGAGTCCTCTTCTTGACTTTTCTCTGGCCCACCCTGCCCCTCCACCCTTACCCTTGGCCTAGCCCTCAAGAATGCCCCAGCTCCACCCCGGTCTTCAAGGGCTCACCCTACCCACTCTATGAAAGTTCTCAGGAATCACTGCTCTGTGGGCAGCTCTAATACTCCCTATTTCCATCTCCCGGTGTAGTGTAACTCTGCTCTTTTCTAATTGTATCGTATATGGCTCTTTCCTCGGCCTTTAGGGATCTTCTTAAGAACAGGCACAATTCATTCAGAAAATATTTCCCAAATGGCTTCTGCGTGCCAGGCACTAGGCTGCATTCAATGTGGCAGCAGGCAGGTTGGCCTTGATCTGTAGTCGCTACCTCCTTCCACATCCTGTAGTTCTTTAGTTGAGTGGGGCCAAGGAGGGCCAGAGACTTGAGTCTGAGGCCCCTGTGTTCCTTGGAGCGAATGTGTTCCTTTAGGCCTGGGACCATCTGGGGTCCAGACAGCCTGGTGCCCAGTGGGGGAAGGAGGCTGCGGATTGCAGTGGGAGGTACAGCCGGCTCTCCTAGAGAATGTGACCCAATGTCACCCCATGGAGGAGAAAAACAGCAACAGCTGTAGTCTTCAGAGTAGAAAAAATAAATATCCAACGTCCCACCAATCCCTAGCAGTGATTCTCATTTTCAAATCTTTGTCCATTCCCAAGTTTTTGCCTCAGACGATTTGAATGTGAGGATGCCTTGTACTGTTCGAATGTGAGAGACTCCACATAATGGAACCTTGTTGAATACTCTAGTCATCATAATAGTGGTCACGATGTGGTAGAGATGGGTATGGTTTCCCTGTTCTCTTTGTTATTCCTCCTTGCTCCTCAATACTGCTCCCCTGGCCGGTGAGTATACCGGTCTACTATGGTTTGCCTCTTGAAGCAAATATTTATTTTCTAGCTCATGAGCAAATATTGACCTACTTTGGTTTTAGATGCTACCCCTCGAAACTCCTGCTGGGCTAGATAAACACACGGGGGTAACAGCTCTTGAAAATAAGAGTTGCTTTTGGACAGGCTATAATGCAAATGACTCACTCATGGAGTCCTCGCAATGGCCAGCACTGTGCTGGTCCCCCGGGGCCCTGATTCCAGGCAGACAAAAGAAGGGCACTGGGCCCTGCCCTCCCTCTGGGAGCTTGTGGCCCAGTTGGGGAGGTAGACTCATGAGCTGGGGCTGCCTGGAGGTTGTGTGCAAGGATCCTGAATGAAGATTCTTGCCTGAGTAGGAGGTGGCCCTCTGTAACCACCAGATACCTTCCCTTTCTGTGGTTTTAAGTGGAATTCAGTCAAGTGCCAAAGTGTCTACTGTAGACAATGGACAATATGGTATGGCAGGAAAGGGAGCTTGGCCCGTGTTCTGTGGAGAGGAGAGGCGAAGAGGGATGGGCTGTGGGGAACTGGAATGGGAGGAGGGAATTGCTGTGGTTGGTTAATCCTCATAGTCATCTCCCTGATCTGTGTCTCAACCTGCTCCTGGACCTCCAGCTCTCCAACCAGGACCTCCTGCCCTGGGTCTCTCTCAGTTGCATGTGTCCAAAGCCTAGTTCTTTTCTTGTGTGTGACCCATGCTTTTTCCCCTCTCCCCTGTCCTCCCAACCTCTCCCAAATTGGACCCTGCACCTCCCTTCCCAGTCTTCTGAAATGAGCTGGGTAAGATCCAAGTCTGGTCAGAACTGGCCTGACCACTCAGAGGCCCAAGGAGGGAGATCGGATCTCAGTTTGTGTCTTTGTGTGTGCCTGTGGGTTAGGCAGAGGCTGTGACGTGTGATGGTCCAGAATTACTTTTTTAGCTCTGTCGGGTGGATCTTTCTAGCTGGGCTCTAGCCAAGTAGCTTGGTTTCCTCTTCTTTGCTGGGGGAAGCCAGAGGGCCAGTGTGTCATCCTAGAACCATCCGTTAGAGGCCACCCTAAAGCAGGTGAGAAAAGTGTCTGCTTTGCGGAAGGGTGGGGTTCTGGGAAGGTCCCATCCTGGGGCACCTTAGAGGAAGCTGGCTATCCTGGGACCTGCTTTGATGGGCAAGAGGAGGGGCCTGTGAGACCAAGGTGAGCCACACACACCCAGGAGGTTGGCCCTTTACTCCACACATATATCCTTACATGAAAGATGCTGTTTCCCCTGCCATATATCACACACCCCCACACACACACTGAGCAAGGAGACCTCTAGATTTCAGTACCAGGTGAGGGCTGGGTGGGGGCTTCATTCAGCCCTGACCTTGGGCTTTGTGCCCAGGCAGGGAAAGATTTGGAGCAGTGCCAGCGCCAGGCGGACGAGGTGACGGAAATCATGCTCAACAACTTTGACAAGGTCCTGGAGCGCGATGGGAAACTCTCGGAGCTGGAGCAGCGTTCAGACCAACTCCTGAACATGGTGTGAGGCCTGGGGAAGCAGGGAGGGGGGAGGGAGAGGCTGGCAGGAGCCCTGATAGGGAGCTCATAGACTGTGCTCAGTGCCTCCAGGCCCTTGGTGGGACCTGAGGGCCAGTATGGGGCCTGTGGGTTTCTTGACGCCCCCTAGCCTAGATATGCAATGGGTAATAGGCCTTGGTTTGAAGCTGTGGAGCTTTCTAAAGGTTGAAAATTGCATGGTTAACTGGAGGTTAGCCCAAAGGGCTGCAAGTTAAGGCTACACCAGTGTCTGAGACTAGGAGTCAGGCTGGGAGGGTTCCAGGGCAGGCTGTGAGGGGAGAGGGAACATACAGATGGGAAGGATGCAGGAGGAGACTACACCTTGCTGGGGCAGGATTGGGAGGAGCTGGCTTCAGGTCTCTAGGGAACCACTAACTCCTATCCTGTGTCTGGGGACATCTACAGAGCTCAGCTTTCAGCAAGACAACCAAGACCCTGGCCCAGAAGAAGCGCTGGGAGAACATCCGTTGGCGTATCTACTTGGGGCTGGTGGTGGGCGGTGGCCTGCTCATCATCCTGATTGTGTTGCTGGTCATCTTTCTCCCACAGAGAAGTGAGGGCAGCAGTGGCCCACAGGCCCAGGACTCAGGTGCTGCCTCAGGGCCTGGGGACTGACCCAGTTGGGCCTGGAGGAGAGGCCGAATGGCCACACTGGCTGGTTCTGGTCTCCAAAGGACTTTGGCATTTGCTCCTATCTGAGCCACCCCAGTGAGCGCCCCAAGGGCAGCCCCGAAGTGTGCACCTCTGCATCTCCTATCACGCCACTGGCTGACCCTTGAGGGCAGCCTGCTGCACTGGCCATGCCAGGCCAGCCCCCCTTGGAACTCAGTAAACGCTGCTGCTTGGTTAAAAAGTGCTGTTTGGTTAACAGCTGGTGTGTGTGTGTGTGTGTGTGTGTGTGTGTGTGTGTCTTTGAAGGTCTCCAGGTTGTTCATTCTGCTCTGCTTCCACCCCTTGGGCTGCTTAGAAAGGCTACCACCCCAATGACTCCCTCCTTGGGAAGTGGCCCCTTCCTCTCACTTCCCTACTTGGTCCAACCCTACATAGACAGATCCTTCTGGAGTGCAGGTGTAAAGGCACAACAGCCCCCAAACCAGACCCTTCAACTGGTGTCCTCTGAGCCTGTCTCCCTGAGAACGAAATCTGTTATGATTCTGATGTCTTGGGGATGCTCAGAGGACCAATGGGACTCCAGATGGGATGCCAAAGAGGGAAACACTTCAGAGATTTTTACATCACAAAGTGAGAGGCTAGACTTGTTGCCCTCTGAACACTCCCCCCTTCCCAATTCCTCTGCCCATGGTTTCCCTCAAGCTTTGCATCAGGTCACAGATGAGGCAGGTGGCAGTGAAAACGGGCAGGGTGTCTGTGGTGTTGTGATGCAGTCACAAAGGATGACTTGGAGATTGCCCTGTAGGAGAGAATTTGGGCTTTTTAAAGCTCCAGGGCTACACGGGGCCAAGTAGGCAGTGCCTTCAGGGCCACAGGAAAGATCATTGGGTAAAGGCCATGGAAGAAGGAAGGAAGGCCCTGCCAAGACCAGAGTAACCCAAGCTGGGGCGGCCTTAACTGCATTTCAAACTCAAGTGTGGGAAGGAAGGGGCATTCAGGGTCAAGTGCGTAACGGAAGCAGTTCCTAGTTAAGTAGAGAGAGGGCTACTAGAAGAGAAATAAGAACAAACCTGAGAGTTGTGTGGACCCCTCACCAGAGCTCATTACTTCTGAGATAGGACAGTAAGCTGGGAAAATTCCTTGGCAAGTGGAATGGGGAAATTGAGACAGCTGAACAAACTGGCCAAGCATTTCCCGGCAAGTTACAGAAGGTCACTAGAGCAGAAAATCCCGGGAGCCTAGCAATGAGCAAAATTGCTGCCAGACCTCAAAACCAGGGTGGCTTTTTCTCCTCTGGCATATCAATAGCCGATATCTGTGCAGTTTAGACCTCCCTGACTTTTCCTCCTAGAGCAATGGTTCTCAACCTTGGCTGCACATTAGAATCACCTGGGAATCTTTTTAAAATCCTGATTTCTGGGCCTCATCCTCCGGAAATTCTGTTTCTTTGTTACTAATGCTGTGGCCCCACCCCATAACAAAGAAACAGAATTTCCGGAGGATGAGGCCCAGAAATCAGGATTTTTAAAAGATTCCCAGGTGATTCTAATGTGCAGCCAAGATTGAGAACCACTGTCCTAGAGGTAACACCTAGGCCTCAGCTGTATTTCAGCTCCAGGCTTAGGAAAAACAGCAAAAGCAGATGGGTGACACCAGGACCAGCTTTCATTATTAATGATCCTCTGCCCTGGCGCCGATCCATCAGTGGACACCACAACCCTGAAAGGATACACCTGGAAAAGCTGAGGAATATTCTATTGAGATCCTTCCCTAAGACTTCCCCCACACTCCCAGCCTTTAAAACCCTCAAAACTTAGGACCCCAGTGCACACTCTCCCTTCCAGGAATATGTCTGGGCCTTTCCTTCCCCCTCTTCTTTCCCCTGAGGCATGCATCTCCTAAACTCTAAGGAACCCCGTGAGAATTGTAACCAGGGGAAGCATCGGGCAGAGGCAGCTCGTCCAAGGTTAACACCCTGCCCTGAACCTTTCCCCAAGGCCCCCTTTCCTCTGACTCTCCAGTGAGCTGACAGCAGCCTCACGTTGGCTCACTTCTTTCTAGAGAGCAGAAGCAGCCGGCTGAGGCTCTCTCCTATGGCTTCTTCCATCCTAAACCCTTCCTTGTTTCACTTCCCCCAGCTTTAATAAACATATCCTCAAAAGCACCTGGACTTATGTTGTGAAATCTTTCCTACACGGAGTCAAGAACCCACACACTACAGCCCGTCCAGCAGACCAGCTCCGGCCAGGTACCTGTCTGGTAACACTCCCTCTGAGCTCATTACCATCTTGCTTGCCCTGGGAAAGATGGAGGCAAGCACTTGGCCTTCACTTAGAGGCCACGTGAACTTGGACAAGTCACTTCCTTGGCTTGGGTTTTATGTGTGTAAAAAGGGATAATGATATTTATCTCCCATATCCATCAATGTAAGGGTTCTAGGTGGCAAATAAATGGTAACTTGTCAATCAAATCATTTAGTGCTATGGTCCTCAACCCTGCCTCACGTTAGAATCACTTGTGGAACTTATAAAAATACCACACCCAGGCCTAGATCAGTTAAATCAGAATCTTTGAGGGTTAAGTCTAAAAAAAAATTTTTTCCCCCCCTGAAGCTGCAACCCCTCTCCAGGAGACTAATGGGTATTCAGGGATACAATCTATTAAATCTGATCAAATAATCAAATCCATATCACCTCCCTTGGGAAACTGACCTTTAGATCATTTCCCAACCGACATTCCCTTTTGCTTAGACCACATCCCGTTTGCTGAGATCAGCAACTTTCTCCTCTGGACTTGCCCAGGATTCGCAATTCCCTGCTGAAAAAGCCCGCCTAGAGTCTGACTTCCCCTCTCTGGGTGCTGGCACCATCTGGTTTTCTGATGACCTAATACATTTATAATTCGTCACCACTTTCGGCCTCCTGAATACCTTCTTCGGGGACCTTAACACAAACTACTTATTTTATTCAAGCCACTAATTCCACAGGAGCAAGGGGAGCAGTTGAGCAATGGGCTGAAGGTCACACTGATAGCCAGGAGCAGGTAAGGCCACAGGTTCCCATCTGGGACACTCCCTTTCTTGGTTGGAAATGAGCACAAAGGTGTTTGTTGTTGTTGTTGTTTGTTTTGTTTGAGGTGGGTAGACAGGGGAGGATTCAAGAGCCAACTCCTGAACCAACGAGAGCTCAGGGGGTGTATTTTGCCCGGTGGGCCCAGGGTAGGGCAGCGGGAAGCGCCGACTCCTTCTCCCCCTGGGCTGTGAAGACTGAGCCCCGGGACCTTCCGCATCTGCATCGCGAGACCCTCTGAGCCGCGGAGCCGACCGAGGACACCCTGCATCCCAGGCACCCACCCGGCTTCTCACGGTGCCCAAACGTCACTCCTTGTACCGGTCTAACCTGGGCTCGGATCCCAAAATAAGTTTTCTGATCCGCCCCGGCCCCTGCCATTGGCTTTAGCCTTTGATCACCTGACTCACTCGAGCCAATGAGAGGCGAGAGAACTAATACTTCCGCTTTCCGTGCGGGTGAGGACCGGCTGTGTCCGCCTTTCGCGTGCTGTGATTGGCCACCTTCTCTCGCCTCGCTAGCTTACTGGCCGGAGCCGCGAAGCCGCAGTCCGCGGGGTCGGAGGGCTGCTGTGTCAGAGATGGCGTCCTACTTCGACGAACATGACTGCGAGCCGTCGGCCCCTGAGCGGGAGGCCCGAACCAACATCCTGCTGGAGATCGCGAGGTGGGTGCGCGGGGCCGGGCGGCGGGGCCGGGCGCGGGTGTCCGGGCCGGGGCCGGCTGGAGAAGGCGGGCGACCTGGGGCGGCAGAGCCGGGGGAGGGCGGAGGAGTGAGTCCGGAGGCTTCACGCGAGGGGAAGTCGGTGCCTGGGATGGGCCCGGGGCCTCCCGGTAGGGGGTTTCGGGAAGACGAGCTGGTGGACTCGGGAAGTCGGGCGGGAGGGAGCGGGACGGGGAGGTGGAGAGGGCGCCGTGGGGGCGTGGCAGAGCGAGGACCTGGCTTAGCAGCGACCCGCTCGCCGCGCTGCCGCTGGAATCTGGCTTCCCAGGTCATTCCTGCGGGGCCCGAGCAGCCTCTCGGCGCCCGTTGCCTCCTACGTGCCGTGGGAGTAAGCAGCCTGCGTGGTTGGGGCCGTGACAGCAGCTGTCAACCACTTCTTGCTCTGCCCTTAACCTGATGGGCGCTGCGGACGGGGGTGGCTGTTCCCGGCTGCAGAGGGTCTTGCTCGACGGGTGGACACCGGGCGAGGTGCGGAGGCGAAGAGAAAGGGTGGTTTTCTGACCTCGCGTCCTTCGGCTCAGGTCGCTTTTCATCAGTGTGGACTTTGAAGACTTGGGGTTGGGAGTAGATTGGGATCACCACCTGCCTCCACCTGCTGCCAAGACTGCGGTTGAGAGCCTCCCCAGGACAGTCATGAGGGGCTGTCGGTCTGGTGAGAACACTGATTCTTTCTGCTCTTTGAGGCAGGTCTGCCAGACCTCACCCTCCATTGCCCCCCACCCCACAAGCCAGACTGTGGACTGGCCCCTCGGTTTTCCAGGCCAGGTTGGGGCAGGTGACCTGTAGGAGTGGGAGCTGGGAGGTGGGGCTGGGGCAGCTCTCCTGATGGGCACTCCCTCCTAAAGAGCTCAAGTGCCCCGTGTGCCTTTTGGAATTCGAGGAGGAGGAGACTGCCATTGAGATGCCTTGCCATCACTTCTTCCATTCCAACTGCATTCTGCCCTGGCTAAGCAAGGTACTGCTCACCCTGCCCAGTTCTCCAGCCCCTTTATTTTTATGAACTGTTGGGGGAATCAGAGAAGGAAGAGGGGTCAGGGTGAGAATTGGGAGCAGGGGATGGATATTAGCTTATAACAGCGGTTCTCAACCTGTGGGTCCCGACCCCTTTGGCGGTTGAACCACCCTTTCACAGGGGTCGCCTAAGACCATCCTGCATATCAGATATTTACATTACGATTCGTAACAGTAGCAACATTACAGTTATGAAGTAGCAACGAAAATAATTTTATGGTTGGGTCACAACATGAGGAACTGTATTTAAAGGGCCAGAAGGTTGAGAACCACTGGCTTATAAAGACCAGACTTGGGCTCGAACACTGCTGTTTTTCCCCCAGACAAATTCCTGCCCCCTCTGCCGCCATGAACTGCCCACTGATGATGATACTTATGAAGAGCACAAGCGGGATAAGGTAGGAGCAGGTGGTAAGTGGAGGGGGTGGCTCCCTCTGGCTGTCCTCCATGCTCTCATCTCCCAATTCGGCAAAGCTGGTAGGCCTCGGGTCTCCTGGCTCTGGCTGTGTTTCCAGTAACGTTGGTGAGGAGCCCCCAGATGCCAGGGGCCTGAACACAGTGGGAGCCAGTTCCATGATAGCTGGCCCATCCGTTCGCCCACAGGCCTTCAGATATGGCCCCTGCCTCTTTCCTTCAGGCTCGCAAGGAGCAGGAGAAGCACCGACTGGAGAGCCTGCACGGAGCCATGTACACATGAGGCAGCTGGGGCCAAGCACTGGCCCTCCACACGTCTTCCTTCTGCACCTCAAATCCTCATTAAAGATTTCTTTACCCACCGTGCGGCTGCATTGCTTAGGGCCCGACTGCTGCTGGGGAAGGTGGCCTGGGCTGCAGAAGGCACCAGGCTGCATACCCTTCCCTTGCTAAGCCTGCTGGCCTGAGGGCAGTGGAACCCAGGCCAAGAACCTGGCCACTGCGTCTATGTGTTCGTGGCTGGAAAGCAGATTACGTCACCATCTGGCACCCAGTAGATATTTAAAGATGCGCTCCTTTCCCCCTGTAATTTTTAGTCGACCTTGAAATTCCAGGTGCTTTCTTTTGCTTCCTAACATTTTAAAGCCATTCTTTATATGCTCCCCATCCCCATCCCCTAAGGAATCAAATTTCAAACCACACTCTGAGTGGGGGAAGGAAGTAGGAAATGATCAGGTCAGTTCTTTAGTCCAAAAAGGGCTTCAAGCCCTCGAGGGATGTTGGGCTAGTACCTGTCATCCTTTGTCGGAGTCAGCCCTTCTCTCAGAGCACAGGGCACGCAGGACTCCCTGCAGGGGCATTCTTTGAGAGGGAAAGCTGTCCTGAACCAGGCCCTCTGACTCTTCCAGAACAGACTACAAACATGCAAATTAGAATTCTTTTAATAGATATATAAAAAAAAGTACTAAAATACCCACATGGTTCTCCTGTGTACTTGCCCTAAAGAATATAAGGGACAGAGTGAAGAATCCCAGTGCAGTCCAGTGGGCCCAAAAGTGGGCCTTCCCACAGACTAAGGTGTGCTCACCCTCCCCTGCCCTCCCACCCCCCATCACTATCCCTCTTGCTGTTCCCAGCCCCCAGTTCCTGCAGCAGGAAACCCCAGTGGTCTGGCCTCGGCACTGGGTATAAAGGCACCTGAAGGGGCGGCTGGGTGACTGAGGATGTGTGACCTTTAAACATAAAGACAATACTAGAGTGGGGAGCGGGTCATGCGCAGCTCAGGCAGCTGCCAGGGCCCGCTCCTGTATGGCACAGGTGGATGTGGGATGGCCACTCCTCCAGGAGTGATGAAGCCTATATCCCAACAGAATACTTTCTCAAAATTTTTTTTGGTATAAAATGAATGCAGAGAAGACCTGGGGTGGGGAGTAGTGGAGGCTGGGCCAGCCACCCTCCCCAGCCCTCAGATCATGGCGATGCTCTCGGGGGCACAGTTGAGGTGAGTAGAGGTGCTACTGCTCCCGGAGGACTTGCAGGCCCGGCCAGCAGGCTGCAGCGCAGCCACCAGTGTCTCTGAGGAGACTGCCCCAAACTCATAGCAGAAGGTGCCGTAGAAAATGAGGATGTCGATGACAAACACCCACTCGCACAGGGCTGCTCCGTGCTGCAGCTGAGAGCTCTCGTGGATGAAGAAGACGCCGCCTGGAATGGGGCTAAGGAAACGTTCAGTAGGACCCGTGGGGACTGGAGACACACCTGCCTTCCTGGACATATAACTAGGTTGCGGCAAAGGGCGGCGCCTGAGCTCCCAGGAGAGGGAGCGGAGACCACCCTGGACGGTGGTATCTGGAAGGTGTGCGGTCTCCCTCACCTTGGGTGAGAGAAGGGCTGGGCTAGAGGATTTCCTGACTGCCCTGTCCGGGAAGGATACTGAGGACCAGGACGACAAAGGCGATGGCGGCCAGCACGATCCGCAGGTAGGCCATAGCCAGGTCCTGGGGGGCGGTGGCTCCATGGTAGGAGAGGACACAGTGCAGGCAGACAAACAGCAGCCCAGCGGGGAAGGCCACACCAGCTCCGATGTAATGTAGAGACTTGGCATGATCCACCTGGGCCCAGAGTGAGGTGCTGGTCAGTGAAGCAGCCCTGCTCCTCCACCCCTTCACCTCTTCTCTGCCCCTCTTCTTCTCTTCTCCTTCCCTCCCAGACCCTCCGCCCCCACCCCCAACCTGGAGGGGCTGCCCCTGCAGCTTGGGTCAACCCTCAGGAGATGGGACCCCCCCAGACAGCCAAGCCCTTTTAGGGGACGTTCAAGAGGTGTGTGTGGGGGTATACCTGAAAGTTTCCAACCACCACGAGGCCTGCAGCGTTGGTGCAGCTCTCTGCTCCAGGAGCTGCCCATAGAGCAGCAGGCAGAGCAGGGCCACTGGGGAAGAGGTGGGTGGAGCCAGCATTAGCGCCTCTCTCTGGCCCAGCCTGTCCAGGAGCCCGCTAGCTCTCACCCCTCCAGACACTGAGGGCCAGAAGGGAATGGATGGGCAGGTGGTGAACTGGGTTTCCTCAGGCTCCAGCCAGCAGGGTGGCTGTGTGGGAGTCAGCCTGTAGTCTTTAAGGAGCAGGGAGAGAAGTGGTCCCCTTTGCTTTAGCCCTTGGGTGGGTGGGCTGCGTTGAGAGCAAGGGATTTCTGGGGGGAAGGGTGTGTGGGGTGGCTGGGGGCTAAGGGCACAACTCACCCATGAAAGCACCCACGTTGCCAATGAGGCTGAAGAGGCAACTCTCTGGGGGATATGTGCCGCACTTGCTGAGGGGAGGGGCAAGGACAGAGTGAGAGGGGCAGGAGCACCAGAGGCCCCCATTCTGGCCCACTTGCCTTCTCTTGCTTCATTTGCGCCCAATTTAAGCCACCGAGAAGGACCAGTGTCTTTCACAAACAAATGGTCCTTATTGGTACCCCCTCCCCTATAAAAAAAAAAGCAGAGCTCGTGTGTGTGACACGTGAGGGAGTACTCAGAATTGCTTAGCAAACCCCAAGACTCCTTGGACTCCCTGAGACTGTCAAGGCCTGTAGCTGGTTTGGCTTTCTTTGAGCCAGAACGTGGGCCAGGCAATCAGAGGGCTTGAGCTTAAACCCAGGTATCTCGCCTGGCTTGTGTAGTTCAGTGGTTGAGTGTCGACCTAGGAGCCAGGAGGTCGAGGTTCAATTCCAGTTGTGGGCTCAATCCCTAGTGCGGGGTGTGCAGAAGGCAGCCAATGATTCTCATCATTGATGTTTCTATTTCTTTTTTCCTCTCTGAATTCAATAAAAATATATAAAAAATTTCAAAAAAAAATTTTTTTTCAAAACATCCAGGCAGCTCCTCTAACTAGTTGTGTGACCTGAATTGATGACATACTGTTTCAGTTTCATTTACCATAAAATAGAACAATAGCTGCCCCAATGCTGGGAGGATTAGACGTCATGCATGTAACATGTTCCGCACAGTGCCTGACACACATCATTGGAAAGCAGTACTGTTACTAAGGGCTTTTAATATAATTATTATTCCTGTGAATCCGGCCTTTGCTTGAGGGGCTTGGCGGAGAGTCTATCAGGGCCTTGGGTCTCGCTAATCTGCCCAGTGTCCAGGCCTTACCTGATGAGGGGGACATCGTCCAGGGTGCAGCAGCTTTTGGGACCCCCTTGCTCAGTAGGGTCAGGAGAGCAGGACTCGTTGTAGGACCTGGAGGCAGGACAGAGTAGATTGGGGGAACCCTTTGGCCTGTACTTCAGGCCGCTCAGAGACCACCCTCCCGGACCGCCCTTATCAGGGGCAGGAGAGCCCACTTCCCAGGGCCTGCCTGAGACAGAAGCCAAGGGGCAAAGGGATGGTGGAAAGCTGTGGGCACGAAGCCATGCCTGGGGGGCAGGCGCGCCAATGTCAGAGAAGAGCAGTGACCAAGGGTCTCCGTCTGGCTCGCAGCAGCCCCGGCCCAAGAGGGAACAGAGATGAAGGGAGCTTTAGAGTGAAGCTGTCTGCAGAGTACGCCATACCAGTTCTCCACAGGGCACACGTGGCGGTTCATCACGGCCATGGCATACCTGTGGGAACAGAACCGTCACCCCATGACCCCAGCCCAGCCCAGCCTTCCCCCACCGACTATTCTCTTCTCCCTGGATTCTGGCCCCGTTCATAGTCATTGCCCCTGCCAGGGACTCAAGTTGGGATGGCCCTGGTGCCACACCAGAACCCACAGCAACGGCTACAAACTAGAGGACCTCTGGAAGTTGCCCTGGCTAAAAGTATGTCTGTCAGGGCCACCTTGCTGGACAGCAGTGGTGCCAGCCTGTCCCAAGGGACTGGTCCAGGCATCAGCCCAGGGTTTGGAGACAGCAACAGTGACCGTGGGTATCACCCTGGGGCCTGCAACAGGACAAGGGGCTTTGTGTGTGCTATCAAGCTCCTGTTGGGTCCTGGCTGGGCCCTGTCCCTCTTCAGCCTGGGCCCATTTTGTGTCCCCCCCCCTGCGCCCCCCCTTCTACTCACACAGTCCATAGGCCAGTGATGGAGAATGCTGATAAGCTGACGGGAAGGAGGATCCAGGCGGTCATGAGGGAGGGGAGCCAGGGTGGTAGTGGTGTGGGAGGGATGACAAGAGGCAGGTGCGGAAGGGGGGACAGGCCCAGCTACCTTAAGATACTTCGCCAAAACCATCAACTGCCCCGGCCTGGTGGAGAGAGATGGGTCAAAGTC